ACGTGTTACATGCGTAGGCCGCGGGACGCGTACATTCATTACGCTCAGGCATCAAGGTTCGCGTCAATCATTTCACCATTCATCGCTTCTGTTAATTGTCCGCGTTTACTTCGCACGTGCATAAGAATCGTGCATTGGGTAGTCGTACGATTATGATTTACGATCCCATTCATTCGGATTGTTAACACGCGTAACGCGATTTGCCCTTTCAGCTGCGACCTAGCCTTGTTCGTTTTATATTCTTTCACTTTGTAATTTCTTTCGCCTTAATTTGCCACTGGACTGGACACACTGTAAAAATAATGAATTCAAAACATTTAAATGTCGCTACGATGGGTACTTACTTAGTATACAATTACTTTAATACTTCCGCGTTTCGTCTGATGAGTGAGGTAGCCGGGGCCCACTTTATTAAAACGTAGCAACACATCAGCATCCCTACGGGTGTTGCAAATGTCAATCAGGTGAACCACTTCATGCTTACCACCTTCTCATAAAAAAGGTATCCCACCATTTCGTGTCTACCATTCAATTTTAGTTCGACTTCTAGAGAAAGTACTGTTTTAAAGAAGCTTCTTTTATGTTTAAGTCCCGTGCTTACGGCGAACGCCTATGTAAGGTCGGCGTAGAATCCCACACTATGGTTACCTTAATGGCAGTTAGTTTGTTTGTTAATATTGAAGTTCCTGCATTTTATATAGAGGGTGTTCCAGGCTACTGCAATTGCAATACTTACTACAGATTTTTTCTTTTATTGTAATTATGGGTTACAGTAAATAACTTAAAATAAAGACGTGGTCAGAAGAATTGTAATTAGATCTATAGTTATTTACTTGTTGTTTGTAAAACAAACACTAAGCAAACAAACATCGTTTTATTAAACAAAGAACATATTTCATTGTCCTACCAAGGTAAGCTAATGACAGACTGACATTGCGCAAATCAATCTGTTGATAACCGTAAATCGGATCTCGTTTAATATTCACTTAAATATGAGATATCGTCGAACAAACAAAACTATATTACGAAATCTCAGGGAAAATGGAACATAACAGTACCTAGTCATTTCATTTATTGTTGGCCTTTAAGTATACAAGTCATTCTTTGACGAGGCGCGTCCACCGCGGAGACCGGTTCTGAAGGACATTTTGATGTTCGCGACGCAACACCCGACCTACAAGACCAGTTTCGGAAAGAAAACGGCATCATTATAAAAGCTCAGACCGTCTCGTACCAGTAGAGAAGGGCCAATTTCTTCATACGAGGGGTAATTTCTTCACGTGTAAACAGTGACCTTTTATACTTAATAGCGTCGATGTCGGAACGGAATTCGGGCATTACAATATTACTGGAAGAAGTAATTAACTGTGTAAAAGATTCTCTATGTATACTTACACTGTCAGATACATACACTGTCAGATATAGATAAGTGTATACTTGTAAGCGATGTATATTATTTACACTGTCAGATACGTACACCGCCCAAGTGCGAGTCGGAATCACGCACGAAGGGTTCCGTACCATTATCCAAAAAAATCATGTCTGTTATATGAAAGCACCACTTAATATTTTTATGTTCTTTTTTTAGACGTTATTTGTTGTTATGGCAACAGAAATACATCATGTGTGAAAATTTCAACTGCCTTCGGCAGCAAGTAAGTAGTATTTTATAAATTATTTACCCTTTGGGTACGGAACCCTAAAAATGGGCCTCGGTTAACTCACTCGCCATACGAAACACGAAATTATAATACTTCCTACTCACGCTGGTCTTTTGTAAGACCGTTTTACTTCCCCGGACGTTGCGTGGTTCTGGTTTATACAAAGATTTCTAGAATAACAGTATACTAGTTATTACCGGGACGAAAAGGCGTTTCCCTACACAAAACAAAATGATGTTTTGATCCAAACATGATATCGTGTTGAAAATCAGGAGCATTTTAATTCATTTACAAGTTCAGCAGCAAGTAATTTTATGTACTTTATAGTACAACTAGTTCGTATTCAGGTGTTGAATCGTGAAATTAATTTGCGATGAGTTACGATGGAGTTTTTTGTCTTCTATATAAATAAATTGATATAGTTCTGCGCGTATCAGAAAGGTTTCAATTGAACCTTCTTAGTTTTATTTCTTAGATTTAACGCTGCTATGTGCTGTAATAAATCAAAAAAATATATCAGCATTGATTCTTCATCTATTGCAACAAATACGAATACTTGTAATAACAGTTATGTTGTACATACAACAACAACATAACCTATGTTCACTTTTCAATATCTGTTCGTGAAACGATTACCATACAAATACGACCTTCGTGTATCATTTTGATAGTATTGGAAAAAAGACTGACTCAATAATTTGTGACTGAATAAAATCCAAAGGCTTCAAAATGCATAAATCAAGATTAATTAGGTAAGCCATTAATCATTACTGTACCGTACACTCTGTAAATTTCCCGAGGAATATAAATAAAATTTTCAATCATGTTTGATTTTGAAGCTATTGGGGATACTAATCGAGACGTAGAATCTGTGGGTTTCTATTAGAAGTTGCTTTTGAATTATAACAGCAATAAATCTACGTGGTTACGTGGAGTCGTAACGAATACCACAATCATGCAAATGAGCCCACAGAAGGGTATCGCCATAAAAAGTGTTGCCAACGGACGGCCGCTTCACACGCTCGTCGGATTATTCTTTAGAATGTGTGAATAATTCATGGTGTTGCCAGTAAATGTTGCGAAAGCACTGGCTCGACGCACTAGCTACCACTGAGGGTACGGCAAAGAATAATTTCCACTTCAAATATTTTCTACGATCGTTGTTTCCTTTTCGTTCTTGCTTAATTGGTCACTAAGCTGCAGAACGATTAGATTATATTAATAATAGAAATGGTGATGTGGTGTCATGAGGTTGTTGACGAGATTGTATAGACAAATTTCATGGTTGTCACCATTAAATTTGTCTATATAATCTCGTCAACCTAAATTTTACCATAAAAAATTGTTCTTCCTTAATTATTTAAAAATACTAAATTTATTTTATGGATTCCGCTAACTAAACTAACTAAAATTATAAACGAAGGACACTGTAATCAATGCACTAGTATCGGAAATATGTTTATTTTATTCTATTTACATTCTTGATTATGACTATTGATGGAAGAATGAAATTATTTCTTTATAGTTCTATTTCATTTCATATCTCCTTGAGTATTTTTAGCAACAATTTTGACTGGAAGAATTAAGAATCTTCACAACTTCATCGAGAACTTTAAACACACACAGGTCAAGACAAGAGCTGTATTGATTTCTTCTCATTGGATACTTAACTCTGTTTCAAAATAACGCTACAGAATGTCTTTGGTTTCGTAGAACGCTAGAAATTACTGGAAATCACAATCAAATATTATCTACTCTATTGAAATTTCAAATTTGATAATTTAGACTTGGAAAGGCTGCTTTTAATCTGGAGAGTAACTGGAGATAACGAAGGCCCAAATAAGAATAAGAAGTGAAATATCTAAACGAACTATTCATTCAAATGGAGTTAACTAGAAGTGTGGTGATTTTATTGATTAATTTATGTTCTATTTTAGGAAACATGAATATTTAATTCTTTTTCCACAAATGTTGAATCTTATTTGCATTTGAGACAAAAAACTAAAATGAAACTATAAACATCTTTAACAAGGGCATTTAAATATTTTATTATGTAATGATTAGTTAAAAATTTCCATTTTCAAGATAAAACTTGTGCATATAATATAGATAAGGGAAAGCGATATATGGTGTATTGATATTACATATTTATATATTACTGTTGTTTTTATGTAATGGGTGGTCTCCGAAATACACGCAGCTTTACCCGTTCTATATTTTTCTTTCAAATGTCTGAGTAATATGTCAAACTAATAAAGAGCAGTCATAGAATAATATGTTTTGGAAAACTCCGGAAAAGCTAGTAGAACACAAAAATATAGCAAAAAAAGAGTTATCAAAGTGACTGGCATTATTTAAAAAAATACGCAATATTTGTTATTTGATTATGAAACATATGTATTTTAATAAAAATGTTTTACTTATCCTAGAAGCCATCCCGTGTGTCGCAGGGGACAAACAAAGTGCCTCGTAAATGTATAAAAATTGATACTTATACTTCGAATCAAACTTACTTTAAATTACTAAAAATCTGTACGTACGTGTAATACGAGTTATCATTTACTTCAGGGCGTGAAACATCACTGTTGTTGTTCCGAAACGTCCCTTTTCCCGTTACAACTCTTAATTACATGTATCAAACTCCGTGAAATAAAATTTGGATTACATTCCTAACTACATACAAGAAAGTACGATAAAAAGCAAGATGAACATAACACTTCTGGTTTCCATGACGCAATGCTGGGTACAATAATCACCGGTCTTATCAAATATTACAACTAATAACATTAGATGGCCAGTTGGCAGACAGCTAGCGATCGACCATTAGTGATGGTATCTTCACGCGTTAATACCTTAATGGCATAGTCGCGACATAGCGACTCTCGGGTAATGCGTTGTTCAAACAAATAACGGGCATCGATTTTAATCGCGTCTTCTGTGTCGCAACAATCTGTTTAACTTACGTTCTGACTCTTACCGTAAGCGCGCTGATCTGCGCCTGATAAAATACAGACCGAGTCATGAGCGAGAGCGGATTAATAAATTAAAGTGTTATTTAGCTAATTGTTAGATGTCATCATAGCCCAGCTGTGTTATTTTTACCATTAGATCGTAAATTCGTGAACACACAAGACGTAGGAATTGTTTTCAGACCGGCTATATTTATGCGTGCACACTTAATTAACTTTTCAGTAAAGCTTAGGTGTTATAAGATTTGATGGAAATAACGATCAAACAGCTCTCTCTGTCTATCTAAATAAAAAGAAGCTGCAAAGGTGTGTCGGCATTCGCGGGATGTCAGCGTTAATATAAGGTTCATTCGGTCTATGCACGACCGAAATGTCAAGTTTCCGCTACACTCTCGTCGCTTGGGGCGCGGTCGAACGTTTCCCGCAACCTCTCGTCACTTGGGGCGCGGTGTGCGAAGTAACGGACGCTCCCAGCTGTCGCCCATTTCACGCAGGCGATGACTGCGTCGGCTCCGTAGTGGTTTCAGCTATTACGCCGTGCGGTAAAGTCGATCGACAATGCGACGTTCGGCATCAACTGTGTCGCTCGTCGCTTTCGACATCCTTTCGAAATTGCGGCGGGCTGAGTGTAGGACCATGATATGTGTCAATGCACCGTTATAATTTCATTGTAGATATATTTATATATTAAACAGACATACACATGCGCGTACACACACTTATCTAAGGCGGCGCAAATTGGTCGTTTGTAAAATGGTAGGCACGAGGTTTTATACAGGCGGCAGGTTTTATTCTCGCACGGGATAGACATTTGTACGATTTTGGATAATTGTTCACAACCTAATTTATTTCCATGTGTACCTTTTTATTACATGAATCCTATCTGAATTATATGGAAAAACTAGGATAAACATATATGTAATTTTTCTACAGGCTTAAACGTGGGGTTTATAAGAACAGCGTTTGACTGACTATAACATTTCATAGCTTGGATTTTCTTCCATATATGAATGGTATTATATGAACCGTAATAACCTTAATAAAACTAGAATGTATATAAATATATGTTCTTTTATTATTATTTGGTAAAAAGCATTTTTGCAGTGATTTCGTAAGAATACCAATATTTAAGCCTTTAAGTAGGTACTTGCTATAACAATAATATGTTTTTGTTACAGGTACTAGTGGTGACGGTTACAAGAAACGTAAGCACGAATTGAGTTTTGAATATTGTTTAAATCAATTTATATATAAACTAGTAATATACCCTCTGAGAGATTGGTAACGACACTTCAATCTGGAAAAGATTATTGTGTGACAGATTTGGAATAGCCAACATACTATTGATTCTTTTAATATTTAAACAGTATTACCAATAAATATAATTTTACTTCCGTACGCGTTTCTGTATGGCATTAAATCTTCATATACAATAACGTCGGAGCATAAAATAGAAGTTGGTATCCTGAGAAAGCAGATTGAGAAGCTGAATATCCAACCTAGAGCTGTCTGAATCATCGGTGACCAGGCCCTTTCCAATGGTCTCGACCCTATGGCCTTGCGAAAAGATGTTTCATTGCTTCATTATCTATCGCATCTATTACGGAGAATTCTTTAAGGAGTCTAAACGTCATGAACACTAATATAAATATCATCGCCACCACCTCGATGGTTGGCATTCCAGTAGTACTCGTTTTTATTTTTTTATGTGACAAAGTGGCAAATGGGCTGGCGGTTCACCTGATGTTAAGTGATAACCACCGCCCATGAACATTTGCAACACCAGTAGAGTTGCAGGAACGTTGCCACCTTTAAATAAAATAAATTCCGGCTATCTGACTCACCAGACGAAACGCAGAAGTGTAACTACTTTACACTTCTGCTTTACGCCTGTCTTCGGTGAGGTCGTGGTACTTACCCGGACGGACCTGCCTATTCTTGCAACAGTTAATAACACCATTGCGTGGCCCTACCACAATTATTTGGAACAGAAATTGCATATGCTGTCACCTACAACCAAGTTGTGGTAATAAGTGTCGCCAGTGCTATTTTAGCAGTTCAGACCTCCACGTCTTAGGAACTTTCAAGAAGAGAGCCTTTTCCTCGAAGGCCGGCAACACATTTGTGACACCCCATCAGGTGGCACGCCCGCTCATTTGCCTCCTTTTCCATAAAAGAAGATATTTCGAACAGTATTCTTTAAAGTTAAAATGCTTTGCAACGTCACAACTGTGCCGTTACGCCAGCATCGACGCCCCGTTCTCCCCAAGTCTTGTACAATAAGTAAACGTTCAAATACTGACCCTTTTACCGCCCCAATTAACAGCGGAATGAAAATAGCACAGCAAATAAAACAGCAGCAAACTGTTACGAACGCAATAACCGTTGATATCGCGTCGTTAACTGTTTAATGGCGACGTAAACGCGAATTAAGCGCGAGAACGTATCGATCTGGAATGTGTGAAACGTGCTCATATTTGATAACGAGGTAACATTGCAATAGATCGCCCCAATTAAGTTTTTAGTAAAAAAAATGTTCGCCGTACGTCCGTGGAATTAATTCGATACTGCACTCAAAATGCTCACAATTGTGTTTCATGTGATTTCGAACAACGTGTTTCGCAATAAAATTGAGAACGAGTAAAAGAAAAGTAAAGTAACAGCCTATAAATGTCCCACTGCTGGGCAAAGACCTCCTCTACAGAGGATATTAGGGCATAGTCCACCACGCGAATCCACTGCGGATTGGCGGATTTCACACACGGATGGCAACTTGGAAATTTTCTATCTAAAATCGGAAGAAAATGTTTACAAATGAAGTTTTTTAGGTAAATTCCAACAAAAACTTCCCAAATGTTTTCCATTTTATATTTAAGCAAAACATCGCTTTGAATACAGTGGAGTTTTTTTGAATTGCTTTAGGAGTATTTTGAACGTTTGGTAACAATGACCTCACATATCTTCGAAATATTATTTTTTGTTATTATTTTGAAAATATGTAGGTTTCCTCACGATGTTTTCCTTCACCGTTGAGCACGTCGAAAAGTCGGCACTTAAAATTCTCAATTTCATTCGTGCCGGCACCGGGGTTCGAAGTCAGGTTGCTCAAGTATATTGCGAGGCAAAAGCTAGCGCCCGGACTTTGGGCTATAACGGCTCGCCTGGAGAACGTATAACATAATCTAATTTTGCATTGGAAATTGACATTTCATAGTACAAGTCTAGTTATTTAAAGAAATTAATTTTATTTTTATTCCTCCATTCTATTTGCGATTTCGCCGTTGAAAGATATAATGTGAACGTCGCGAAAACATTTGCTGTTAACACGAGCAGTTCAATTGAAAGATCTCGAATCAGTATCCTAAACACGTCTATTACTTCACGGGAAACAATGCATTAGAAAGTGAAGTTTTACACCAAAACATCCGCTACAGAATAAATCGTTCCATTAGCACATTTCAAACTGTGGAATTGATGGATCATTTTGTTTTTAATGCAATCTTTGCACGGATTGTTAACAGACAGATTTATTAGGGTACAAGCCTTAAGAGTTTTTAATATGTTACATTTTTAACATAATATGTTATTAATAAAGATTATTCCTTTGTCTATACAAGTGTATATCTTCACTGCTGAACAAATGACGCTCCTTTACGCATGTTTGCAAAAGAAACCTTTCCGGCGATCTTGATCTTCTGACCCTGTTACCATTAGTACCGTAGTGGTATAAGACTTCCTTAATTTGTATGTGACGTCTAAATAAGTACAGGTAAGGCGTATATAGTTGGTACCATGCAAGAGCAGCACCACGACTTTAACGATATTCTCGAAACGACATTGAACTCGCGAAGCTGAAAGAAATCTTTAGACATTTTTTGTAGTTCCGATGTAGTGCTCATCTACGCCGAAACATATTTTTACCCGAAATATGGCCCGTGCTTATCTTTATCTTTTATCTTTGATTAAGATGTAATTTTCGATGGAAAGCTGAAAATAAAATTGAAGATATACATATACATGGTAGGAATAAGTTAAGGTTATAAAAGCGTAATGTTAAAGGGTCATATGTTGCATTCAAATTTAGTCGTCATACAGACCACAGCCGTCGGGATAATGTACCACCCAGGCCGCCTCAAAACGAAGAGTCATGCGCGACCCGTCCAAACCGACGTGAGTTACAGTTCGGAGAAATGAGACGCAATATCTAATGTTTTACTACCTGTACTATGTAATGGACAATATCGATGGGCGAAATAAGTTAGAATCAGAAGCGAGGGCGGAAAGCAAGGTGGAAAACAAGATATTTACAATCGTATAAATAACTAATTCACATAAATCTTATTTTGTTCTTATGTTCCTTTTTAAAGTTCAACCGCCCAGATTATTTAACAAGTTGTGAATAAGTAGGTGTATTTTTGTGCCTAACTTATGAATAAAAAAAATGGGTGAATTTCCAAGTTTTTTTTAATTCAATTCTTTTTCATTTTTATAACATAAATGTAAACATATAAATTCAAATTTAAGGCAAGAAAAGAATGGAATGTGAACATAAAAGAATATAAAAAGTTACTCAAATAAAACTTGGCTTTCTTTCTGATTTGATCACCTCGTCTTATTTAACTCCATCCTTTATTTCTCTAACAACACGGGCCTTTTTCTGAGTTACAATCGCAGTCATTGCAACGTTTAAATTCACCGCTTTCGCTAACACAAGCACAAATGCAGTCTGCACCGCCTGTTGGAATACAGACACATTTGGGCTTACTGCATTTCTTACTGCAATCCGGTTCGCATTCACAATCATCGCATGTTTGAATATTGCCCTTATCGTCGAGGCAGACACAGAGGCATTCTTTACCGTTTGCCTTTAAACAGACGCATCCCTTTTTGTCACATTTGCTGCTGATGCATGCTTTACTACTGCCGCTCTCTGTAGGGATACAGTTGCAGTCATCGCAACGTTTAAATTCACCGCTTTCGTTGACACACACGCAAATGCAGTCAGCACCGTCAGTTGGAATGCAAACACATTTGGGCTTACTGCATTTCTTACTGCAATCCGTTTCACATTCACAATCATCGCATGTTTGAATATTGCCCTTATCGTCGAGGCAGACACAGAGGCATTCTTTACCATTTGCCTTTAAACAGACGCATCCCTTTTTGTCACATTTGCTGTTGATGCATGCTTTACTACTGTCGCTCTCTGTAGGGATACAGTTGCACTCATCGCAACGCTTAAATTCACCGCTTTCGTTGACACAAACACAAATGCAGTCAGCACCGTCAGTTGGAATGCAAACACATTTGGGCTTACTGCATTTCTTACTGAAATCCGTTTCACATTTGCAATCATCGCAAGTTTGAATATTGCCCTTATCGTCGAGGCAGACACAGAGACATTCTTTACCGTTTGCCTTTAAACAGACGCATCCCTTTTTGTCACATTTGCTGCTGATGCATGCTTTACTACTGCCGCTCTCTGTAGGGATACAGTTGCAGTCATCGCAACGTTTAAATTCACCGCTTTCGTTGACACACACGCAAATGCAGTCAGCACCGTCAGTTGGAATGCAAACACATTTGGGCTTATTGCATTTCTTACTGAAATCCGTTTCACATTTGCAATCATCGCAAGTTTGAATATTGCCCTTATCGTCGAGGCAGACACAGAGGCATTCTTTACCGTTTGCCTTTGAACAGAAGCATCCCTTTTTTGTCACATTTGCTGCTGATGCATGCTTTACTACTGCCGCTCTCTGTAGGGATACAGTTGCAGTCATCGCAACGTTTAAATTCACCGCTTTCGTTGACACACACGCAAATGCAGTCAGCACCGTCAGTTGGAATGCAAACACATTTGGGCTTACTGCATTTCTTACTGAAATCCGTTTCACATTCACAATCATCGCAAGTTTGAATATTGCCCTTATCGTCGAGGCAGACACAGAGGCATTCTTTACCGTTTGCCTTTAAACAGACGCATCCCTTTTTGTCACATTTGCTGCTGATGCATGCTTTACTACTGCCGCTCTCTGTAGGGATACAGTTGCAGTCATCGCAACGTTTAAATTCACCGCTTTCGTTGACACACACGCAAATGCAGTCAGCACCGTCAGTTGGAATGCAAACACATTTGGGCTTACTGCATTTCTTACTGAAATCCGTTTCACATTCACAATCATCGCAAGTTTGAATATTGCCCTTATCGTCGAGGCAGACACAGAGGCATTCTTTACCGTTTGCCTTTAAACAGACGCATCCCTTTTTGTCACATTTGCTGCTGATGCATGCTTTACTTATGCCGCTCTCTGTAGGGATGCAGTTGCAGTCATCGCAACGTATGAAATCACCAGATTCATTAACACAGACGCAAATGTACTCTGCGCCATTCGTAGAGATACATTTGCAGTTATCCTTGTTGCAGCGACAGTTGCTGGTGTCCGTGGCATCACATTGACAGTCTTCGCACTTGTTTATATTTTTCATACTGTCGAGAAACACGCAAATGCAAGGCTTTCCTTCAGTAGCAATGCATATGCAGCCGTCTGTTTCCCAGCAACGATTCTTGCTGAGTGGTAATATACAGCACGGCATTTTGAGGTTGTTCGAAACTGAAATATTAAATACATGATTTAGAGTTTAATCGCCAAATAAATGAACTGGCAACCTTAATCAAAAAGTGTTCAAGCGTTATATTATTATCTGCGCCTTTTTGGGCCACGGCGTAACACGCTTTACATTTTGCCCCTTACTATTTTCTCTGGTATTTAAAAATGATATTAGGATAAAAGAAGTTAGTTGACAAGTATTTCTCTTTTTTAAATATTAAGTGATTATTTGTAAGCTAATTTGTATTTTTAAACATTGCTACAAATACCGCATAACATTGGAAATCGTCAAGAACTAACCCCCATAGGACAGACATTGCCTGGTGTGGGGGTCAGAAATAAATTTAACTGTAATTTGGCTTTTTCTGAATAAAGTTTATTCTTATTCTTATTCATATTTGACTTGAAAAAAAAAGCCAGGAAAATAGTAACTATATGGTCGATTTTGGTAAATGTCTACCAAGTTGTATACTATGACACAAGTTCAAATCTCAGCAGGTTTCATCAATGACTTTTATTCTACAACATTAGCAGAATCAAATATACTTGTACTACGCCGGGTGGACAAAGATAGGCTTGTAACCACTTAACACGTTTAAAACTAAGTAATTACCGATAGAATCGTTGATCCGGAATATAAAAAAACTGACATGAGAAGATCTTATAATAATTTAAAGACGACCTAGACGTGACTTTGCGTTCCCATGCAACAATAGAACGCAGTGTGAGAACAGTAAATTGGCTTCCATAGTTTTCTTCTAAAAGTAACAGCATATACATGTCCCACTGCTGGGCAAAGGCCTCCTCTATACAGAGGGTATCAGGGCATAGTCCACCACGCGGCCCCACTGCGGATTGGCGGACTTCACATATTTTCGAAATATATATTGTTTTGTTATTATTTCGAAAATATGCAGGTTTCCTCACGATGTTTTCCTTCACCGCGGAGCACGTGATAAGTCAGCACTTAAAGTTAAAAACTTCATTGGTGCCGGCACCGGGGATCGAACTCAGGTTGCTCGAGTACATTGAATTAAAGGCGAGCGCCCGGACACTGAGCTATCACGGCTCTTCACAGTTTTCTTCTAATAACAAATATTAAAACTGTGTTAGGGCCACGCAACAGTCTTCGCTGTTGCAAGAATGGGTAACTGAAGTGGAAGTGTTATACTTGTGCATTTCATTTGGTAAGTGACCGGGGCCCACTTTTTTATAAGGTCGTATATAATGTATTACATTTGCAACCCTAAGGGTGTCCCAATTATCAATGGGCGACTGTTATCACTTAACATCAGGCGACCGCCCCCAGCTCGCTTGGCATCTTCTCACATAAAAAAAACATAACACGTAAACGATCGGGTTAACTCCCTATGGTTTCCATTCTCATACTTACAGTACAGGATGAGAAGTCCTTAACTCGAGTCGATGTTACAAAAACTAAAAACAAACCGAGCGATAGCGTCGTAAATAACTCAATCGATTAGCGGAGTGTTATCAGTAGTACTCACATTTGCGCAATCCGTAAACTCTTCACGATGCTCGCAACGTCGTCGTCACTGCGTAATGATAAGGAGCGCTGTCGTCCGCCGCTTATATTAGCGGCATAATCACCGTGCGCAAAAGGCAATTCATGCCGAGTGCAAAATCGAGTACTACGTCGCTCGGAACTGTTGACTTTACCCCTTTGTTATCTTAAACAATATTTCTAAATGAAAGACTTACTGTCGCCGTCTGTTTGTTTGTTTCATGCAAGTTGAAGCTTTTGGTTTCTCCATTATCGTAATACAGATTTACCCAGATGAGATGATCAAATTCAAATTCAAAATATCTCTATTCAAATAGACGCTTGCGCGTTCTTATGAAATGTCGAATTTTACATAAATAATTGATACATAAATTCGTAAATATGTTACCACCGGTTCGGAAGGCAGTTTCTGTTGTGATGAGATCGGCAAGAAACTCAAAATTCTCTATTTTTTTAAAAAATCAGATAACAATATAACAAACATATACATAATAATATTCTTATCTTAGCCTACGTGAGTAGCAACGTCATCGTCGAGATATTCCGCAATGGTATAATATTCTTTAGCCATAAGTTTACTTTTAAATCTGCGTTTAAATTGGTCAAGTGGCAGACTTAATATCGACTTTTGTTATATATGCGCACACTTTAGCCCATGAACGATCTATTTACTCTTTTGTAGACAAAATAATGGTGTACTTTTGTCCTTATTTCTAGTATTTAGTTTGTCTGTCACTATTCTTTAGATAATAATTAAGATTATGTCTTACATACAAAATATTACAATAAATATATTGAGAAGCAACAGTGAGTATATTAATCTGTTTAAAAAAGATGAGATAAATTAATTGTAATTAAGTCCATTTTAGAACATGGTTGAAAAGTTTTCGCTCTTTAGTGCGACGCGAAAGACTGAAATTTAGGGTGAGGTTAGGTCAGGAAAGACAGTTTTCAATTTCGAATTTTCAAGCGGACATGTTAAAATGCCTTTTTCTTGTCCAAAATCACTCAGTAAAGGACTAGCTTGTTTTAAACATTACAGAACTTATTTTTTGTCATGTTTTCAATAAAAATCTCTTCGCTGCAACACGGAGAGTTGGAATAAATAGAAAGGCTGAGCTTTTTCTTCAATGAGAAACAACTAGCTTTTGCGCACGGCTTTGTCCGTGCAGCCTTTTCTTCATTTTAATAGTCAATGTCATAGAATGTAATGTAATATATTGCGTAATAGATTGTAACAAAATTTAATTGTATTGTACTTTAATGTGTAAGCATATTCCATTGCTAGTTTACAATAATATAATAAAGTAATCTTTTATTTCATAATGTAAAGTAAAAAGTAAAGTAACATATACTTATTACTGCTGAGCCAAGGTCAGCTTTTTACAGAGGATAGGAGGGTATAGCCCACAGCGGGACCTAAACACAGATTGGCACATACCTACCTTCGATACATTTTCTTTTATTAGTACTTCGAAAGTATGCAGGTTACCTCACGATGTTTTCCTCCGCCGCTTAGCACGTAATAAGAAAATGTTATGACGTACAATATTTCTTTTAGCTAATCTTATACAGTCCATACAAAACCGACAACGAGCAATCCTAGCTTCACTAAACATATATTTATTTCGATTGAACATGTCCATATCGTGTTCCAAATAAAAATAAGTTCCAATATGGGTGTGATGTCATCGATGACGTCATCGCTAAAAGTACACCATGCAAAACAAACACCTGACATTACAATCCGGTTCGCGCAGAGCGTTCGGGTGACTCATCCGATTTTATTTGACATAAATCGACGGCAAGTTGTTGGAAGTTTTCTTGAATAATAATGGCATTCGTTGGAATATTTATAGTAGTAATTTTATAATACACAAGACGTAAAAATTATGTCACGGGTTTTATCGGTTATTACTATTATTTTTGTTACATGCAAAGTGTTAAAATATACAATTTTCTCGCGAAAATAAAAAAATCATTATAATTTTAATAAAATTTTATTGAGAGCGTATATTTGTGTTGATCATAGAAGAACTTTAAAATTTTTCCGTTGTTTTTATTTGATATTATAGGTGTGTATTGTAGATATGACAATTTATTAAGAAGTATATGAATACCTTGAAGATGTATCTTATAAAAATTAGGTTAACTGTGTCACATATGCATGTTCAAGCACTGACATTCTGAAAGATATGTTGGGCAGAGAAGATAGTACTGTGGAGTCATAAAACAGCTTATGCTGTTGAAAACAAGTCGTTTTGACCGGATAAATACAACAGCATCTTAAAAGCACGATGTGAATAGAATTATTAGTACTACATACATCATCTTTTTCCCCTTTTTTTCTTTTTTAGAGTAGGTACATTACCTTGTGTTGTAAGGACATTTTACATACATAAATTTCACGTGGACTAACACCCAGATCCGAAACAATTATCTGTGGTTCACACGAATATTTGTCCCGTGTAGGAATCGAACCCACGACCCCCGCCAGCGAATCAAATACCTTGGCAACTGCGCCACCCCGCCAAAAGCCAAAAAAGAAACTTTGCCTTTCTATTACATTTTCGTTTTCCTCTTGTCTTCATCTAACTCCAAATCTTTTGTCTTAATGTAACTCCGTAATTGCTGGAGCTATTTTAATGTGATCTGTATTCGTGTACAATTAAATTGCATGTTAATATTCGCAACTCTATTAGCAACTATTGCAACGCCCGCTCCAATTTGGGCAGCAGCTTCGAAAGGCGAACGACATTTACAATATCGCTAACTGCCCACTGCTGGAAAGCGTGGGCGTGGGACTAACTTACCTTGACTGCCAGCGTCTACTGGCGCCAAAGAGTAGTTGTAGGTGATTCTCGTCTCTCGCAATTATAACCTTTATGACTTCGGTAAATAAGATCTATTTTAGTATAATACAGGAACGATGCGTGTGGGTATATGAGACGGTGAGATTAAGCGGTTTTACGCACACATTAGTAGTTAAGCCGAATAATTACAGAAGCAGAATAATTTGTCAGAGTATGGACTCTCCCATTACAAAGTAGAAACATAACATTGTACTGACTTAAGTAACACTGCCATCAACAATTAAGTGGGATGAAAGACTTCATGGCATTTCTTTTAAAATGTTGCTGCTGGTAGCCATGTGGCTCATTCTGCCATTGTACGAATATCTGGCCAGGTTTGACAGCAATTGCGCTCTAGTCTTTCAGAGTCAATGCATTTGCAAAACTGCACAGGATTTACAAAATCCTATGAATCGTAGTCATCGCTTGATATCTAGTTAATCAGTAAATGTTCTTAATATATTCCTTTTCTTCAGTGAACGCTAATAAAACATGGAAGCCGCACATTCATACAAGTGATTGTTAATATATAGCACCACAACTCCCACTGACAGTTATCAAATGCCGTCAAACAAAAATGAACTTATTTATCAGTTTAACTAAGTCTAC